ATTATTATTATTATTATTATTATAATTATTATTGTTTGTATTATTATATTGTATTTTTATTAATTTGCTATTAATTTTATTAATTGTTGTAATAATAATAACGATAGATATTATTATTATTATTATTATTATTATTATTATTATTATTATTATTATTATTATTATTATTATTATTATTATTATTATTATTATTATTATTTATTATTATTATTATATTTTCGCCCCCAGGCCCTGATGTGGGTTAAGTTTACTTTAGTTTTTTTACAAAAAATTTCATAAATTTTCAAAAATTTTTCAAAAATTTTCCATTTTTTTTTCAGAATTTTTCCAAAAATTTGAAAAATTTTGGTTTTGGAAATTTTTTGGAAAATTTTGGAAAATTTTGGGAATTTTTTTGGGTAAAAAAAAATAATTATATATATATATATATATATATATATATATATATATATATATATATATATATATATATATATATATATATATATATATATATATATATATATATATATATATATATATATATATATATATATATATATATATATATATATATATATATATATTTTTTTTTTTTTTTTTTTTCCAGTGGTTCAGGTAATTAGCGGGCCGCAGGTCAACTCATTAACAGTACACGAAATTAATACTTTGCTTTTTAATGTCAATTATAATTAATATGTCACTGGTTGTCAGAAACTGAGTGAGAAACCACTGTAGTAATGAACTGTTGTCTGGGTCACACACTGTACAGAAGCTAGAGATGACATGTGTACTGTCAATCATATATTTGTTTTAATTATGAAATAGAATATTGTTGATAAATTTATTTAAATTATCATTATTATTATTATGAAATTACGTAAAGACCAGGCGACAAGAACTGTAACAATAGGTATTTGTTGGAGCTATAAATGATAAGATATAAATACACATTAATAAAACAAATTATACCAACTAATGTATAAGTGACGGATGTTTTAAGTATATAGATGTCATTACTTAAGGCACTTTATAACACTACAGCACCAAGTAGCGACATATAGATAACACTAATACTTATTATTCATATATGTAGTTATTATCCTTGGTCAAGTTATCATCCTTGGCCACTCATATCAATAATTCTAAAACAATCTTGTAACTTAATATCTCAACATTGTATTGAAATATTAAAAAAAAAAATCTTTGTATGTAGAACAATTATAGTAAATTAATTCATGTAAATGTTAATTCTGTGTTCATTATAATTTGCCTCCTGACTTTAGCGACACGACACATCATTGATAAAACCCTTCAATAATTATGTTAACGCTTCAAAATGTAAGTTATACATTAATGTCTGCTAAATGGTCTACAGTTCTGGTGAGTATTTATTCATAATTGTACTGAACAATGTATTGACAATGATATTAACAGAAATAATTTATGATAATGAAATATATTACAATACGTATAGACACAGGATGGTATAAAGTCTACGGTAGCAGCCACCCACGTTTAACTACCAACACCCTCTCCACACACACACACACACACACACACACACACACACACACACACAGTAATAGTACTCATTACCTCGTTTGTTTGACCGTAAAAAATAAATGTACAAAGTTTACATACATTAGCAGCCAAACGTTCTATTAAAGAGCATTGTTCTTTACTTTTTAGCCCTGGCTCACGAGGTGCTAGAGTTTGTTAAGAGGTAATCAATATGGGGTGTAGTTGGGGTGTGTGTGTGTGTGTGTGTGTGTGTGTGTGTGTGTGTGTGTGTGTGTGTGTGTGTGTGTGTGTGTGTGTGTGTGTGTGTGTCTTAACATCACTGCACTAGAGATATAACAATGTAGGGCGTTCGAAATTAAACTGTGCTACGCTGAGAGAGAGAGAGAGAGAGAGAGAGAGAGAGAGAGAGAGAGAGAGAGAGAGAGAGAGAGAGAGAGAGAGAGAGAGAGAGAGAGAGAGAGAGACCTACAGTACAAGGTGTGGCCGGGAGTGCACCATGAGTGTATCGACCCACTTGAGTGCATCAGTCTTAAGGGTCTTTCTCGAACACGTCTCACATCTCGGCTCTTGTTGCTCACAATGGATGGGTCGGCCGATACAATCTTACCTTCTCCTTCCATGTAAACCATTTGAATTTGAGTTAAAAATGAATTATACTGTGACGACGGTGTTAGCAACTGGAAGGTGTTAAGGCGGGTGTTGGGGAGATTATTTGTTAAGGATGGCAGGTGTTAAGGAGGCGAGATTAGGTTAGGTTAGGTTAGGTTAGGTTAGGTTAGGACAGAAGGCATCAGAAGGTAGTAAAACCAACGATTACTCTCTCTCTCTCTCAAAACTAACTTTATCCTAAGCGTATTATCTACATTCCACCACCACCATCCATCCAGAAGTCAACAACCTCCGCCTCAGCAGTCATAAGACCAACACATTCGCGGTAGATTGACACAGGAAGCTGCCTAATTTGCTGGTCTGGTAGCCGCACGCGTTTTGCCTTGCATCCTCGCTGACAGCCAAATTAGGGAGGACTGTTTGGCTTGTAAGGGCCTCGTGTGTCCGTCTGTTTAATGGGCGCCGCTGCTCAGGCTGTCAGGGAAGCTTCTAAATTAATGACATGATGTACGGAAGGCTGTGTCACTTATGTTCGGATGTCTGTCTGGCTGTGTATGTCTGTCTGTCTGTCTTTTAGTTCGTCTTTAAATATATCAACAGGGTAAAACCATTCTCTTTTTCTCTCTCTGTCTCTCTCTCCATTTCTCCCTCTTTATCTCTCACCTCACCTTTAATGTATGACGGTAAAATATATCTCTCATTCTGTCTGTCTGTCTGTTTGTCACTGGTGGGTAATTGTTGAGAGGACTGGGAGTTGCTGGTGAGGTTTGAGTTTGTTTTGTTGGTTGGATGTGAAACGTAAATACCACGCGAGAGACCCACAACCCTACCTAACAATAACAACATGACAGCCTAACAAAGCTATTAAAGTAACGTAACACACACACACACACACACACACACACACACACACACACACACACACACACACACACACACACACACACACACACACACACACACACACACACACACACACACACATACGTTCAACCCAACTAAAACAGAAATAAAAACAAAATCCCACCAAATGTTTTATGTCTTAAATTTTTGGGACATTTCGAAAAAAAAATGAACAAGGACATAAGGAATAATGGTTTACCTGGATAATGATTTACCTGGATAATGATTTACCTGGATAATGGTTTACCTGATAATGATTTACCTGATAATGATTTACCTGGATAATGGTTTACCTGGATAATGATTTACCTGGATAATGATTTACCTGATAATGATTTACCTGGATAATGATTTACCTGGATGCGTGTTTATAGAAGTGGATTACCTTTATTACTGTGTTAGAGAAGACTGTGTACGGAAGATGATTCACCTGGGGACACAAGATATACTGTTTATATAAAGCCAATTTATCCCGTGTGAGGAATGACTCTGGTGTGTGTGTGTGTGTATGTGTGTGTGTGTGTGTGTGTGTGTGGTAGAGAGGAGGAGGAGGAGAGGAAAAGTACGGCAAGAAGAGGAAGAACAGGAGGATTAGAAATAGAAGGATGAGGAGGAAGAAGAGGAGGGGGAAGAAGAGAAAGAAGAGAAAGTGGGGGAAAGAAGAGAAAGAGGAGAAAGAAGAATAAGAAGGGAACAGGAAGAAGAACAGGAGGAGGAAGAGAAGGAAAAGGCTCTTCCAGTACATCTCAACCTTCCTGTTTAAACTCACCAAACTTGGCAGATTATTTAGTATTGATTTTCCGGATATAAATATGTAAATGAGGTCTTGATATTCCTTTGACAACATGCGTCTAAGTTTAAATAATACGTCTATCATACGTCCAGGATATATATATATATATTTTTTTTTTCAGGGAAGATGTTAAAAATATTACCATGGGTGTATTTTTTGGGCTATATTATGAAGCTAGTATTTTTCTTTAGTATTAACCTAACCAAACTTAACTTAACCTAACCTAACCTAACCAAACTTAATTTGTGATCGAAAAAAAGAATGTCCGTATTTTAGTATATAATTAATCAGGTTAATATTTTTTTTTCGATGGCTTTGTGTATTAATGAAAAAAGAAAAACAGAAAATGTAATAATTATTTTCGGAGAATTTCATCCTCTCTCTCTCTCTCTCTCTCTCTCTCTCTCTCTCTCCCCTGTCTTCTCCGCTAGTGATCATCTTATAGTCATTAAGGTAAGGAGTTGTAATGTTCACCTGGGAGTCATAACTATCATTCATCAGCCAACACAAAGTACCATTAATTATTCCCCTTCTCTCTTAAAGTCTGATTGCATGACTACACACACACACACACACACACACACACACACACACACACACACATACACACACACACACACACACACACACACACACACACACACACACACACACACCTCAAGCCGAGACTTTCCATCGACAACCGAGATATTCTTTTTTTTTAGCTGACTGACTCACCACTGGGGGAAGCTAAGACCTCAATACTGACAGAGTTCAACCCCTAAGCTAAGACTGGACGAAGCTAATACGAAGCTTAATCTGTACAGAGTCAAGATTTCCAAGCAATGATTAACTTCACTACACCTCAGCTTAATCTGTATCAAGTTTAAGACTCCCAAGAATTATTTATGTTTACCACCGCACCTCAGCTTAATCTGTACCAAGCTTAAGATTCCCGACAATTTAAGTTTAACACTACACCTCAGCTTAATTGGTACCAAGCTTAAGATTCAAGACAATTTAAGTTTAGCACTATACCTCGGCTTAATCTGTACCAAGCTTAAGATTCCTGACAATTTAGGTTTAACACTACACCTCAGCTTATTCTGTAGCAAGCTTAGGACTTTTTATACGACGGTAATAACATCACACGACTTTGTACTGTGAGTATAAGCGAGTGTTGAGGTAAGACAGAGGCACTCAAACTCCTAAGTACCTCAACACAAGTACCTCAACACAAGTACCACAACACAAGTACCTCAACAAGAGTACCTCAACACAAGTACAACAACACAAGTACCTCAACACAAGTACCACAACACAAGTACCACAACACAAGTACCACAACACAAGTACCTCAACACAAGTACCTCAACACAAGTACCACAACACAAGTATCTCAACACAAGTACCTCAACACAAGTACCTCAACACAAGTACCACAACACAAGTACCACAACACAAGTACCTCAACACAACTCAACACAAGTACCACAACACAAGTACCACAACACAAGTACCACAACACAAGTACCACAACACAGAGTACCACAACACAAGTACCACAACACAGAACCACAACACAAGTACCACAACACAAGTACCACAACACAAGTACCACAACACAAGAACCACAACACAAGTACCACAGCTTACAAGTACCACAACACAAGTACCACAACACAAGTACCACAACACAAAGTACCACAACACAAGTACCACAACACAAGTACCTCAACACAAATTACCACAACACAAGTACCTCCAACACAAGTACCACAACACAATTACCACAACACAAGTACCACAACACAAGTACCTCAACACAAATTACCACAACCTACCACAACACAAGTACCACAACACAAGTACCACAACACAAGTACCACAACACAAATTACCTCAACACAAATTACCTCAACACAAGTACCACAACACAAATTACCACAACACAAGTACCACAGCACAAGTACCACAACACAAGTACCTCAACACAAGTACCACAACCACAAGTACCTCAACACAAATTACCACAACACAAGGTACCACAACACAAGTGCCTCAACACAAGTACCACAACACAAATTACCACAACACAAGTACCACAACACAAGTACCACAACACAAGTACCACAACACAAGTACCACAACACAAGTACCACAACACAAGTACCACAACACAAGAACCACAACACAAGAACCACAACACAAGTACCACAACACAAGTACCACAACACACTCAATTGAAGTTACTCTTGATAACAGAAAACAGACGAATATATCAGCGTTATTTACATATTTCATACATCAACTATACATGTATACATTATAATGAATATATATACATACGTCTTCGTCTGGTTCTGTTACTATAAGGAATACATATATACTGCATATATACATAGTAGATAGATATAGATATAATTCTGTTACTATAATGGTTAAATATATACTATACTATAATGGTTATATTTCTTGCATGATATAAAACAAAGGTGACTTACAGGATATAATATCGATCCTCTCTCTCTCTCTCTCTCTCTCTCTCTCTCTCTCTCTCTCTCTCTCTCTCTCTCTCTCTCTTATAAGGTGGACTACATCTAAATATTAATGACTCATACAGACTAGACGAAGGTATTCCTTAAGCTATATTCCCATTGAGTTTTAACCTTGAATCACTTAATTTAACCTTCTATGTTATTCCCTAACTTATGCAAACTTAGATTAATCACCTATAGTACAACCTAACCTAATCTAACCTTACCTAACCCAGAAGGAACAGATGGCTCATTGAGTTACTGCCTCTGCTGCTCGTATTACACTCAGTTCATGTTATAACGAGGCGTCTGAGGCGTCATTACTGAGAGACGGTCATGTTACAAGGAGAGCCAGCAGGTGTGGAGTGGTGGTGGGTTGTAGGTGTGGTGGTGGGTTGTAGTTGTGAGGGTGGGTCAAGTGTGTGGGGCTCTCCTGCAGGTGTGTTGGAAGATCAGCGGGTGTGGAGGTGACACGCCTACGAAACGAACTGTGAACGAAATAGCTTATTTATTTACAAAACAACCCGTAACCCCCACCACACCCCACCCCCACACCATCACACCACACCCCCCTACCTACCACACCTTCACCCCTAACCACACCCCCACCCACCTCCTACCACATCCCTCCCCTACCACGCCCCACACTCACGTTTCCTAGAGTTAGACACGTAAGCCCAACAATATTTCCTGACGAGGCTTTTTTTATATCAAGTCTCCTGAGGTCAGTGAAAGAACGTCCATTATATATGCGAATTAAATTTACCATATTCTCTAAATGTCCAATTTTAGTGTTATTTACGGTCAATTTTGTTCTCTCTCTCTCTCTCTCTCTCTCTCTCTCTCTCTCTCTGTTGATGATACTTTAAATTTCCATAATGCACTGTATAGAAAGAAAGAAAGAAAGAAAGAAAGAAAGATATAGTACACAACATAAAAACAGAATTTACACCGATTTCAGACACAAAGAAGACCCGAAAAAATTGCTGTGAATGGACAATAATTCATCGCCACAAGGTCCAGATCTGACCTAATTAAAACCCACACTTTTTTATTTGATTTTTTGGTCAGAATAAGTCAGAGGTGGTCCATTAAATACCAGGTAATGACTCTAACCCCTGGTGGACCTTACCGGATTTCGTTAAGGGTTGGGTTAGGTTAGGTTAGATCAAGGGTGAGATGGCTTCGTCTAGGAATCAGTTCCAATTTCAAACACTAATGATTCCAGTCAAATCATAAACTACACTCATTATCGTGACTAATTAACCTAATGTAATATTCCTGGGCATTTCCGATAATAACAGAATGACCCAATATGACCTGTATCTAAAGTGTAATGTTATGTCAGTAGCTTCCATGTCATATTCCCCCGTGAAAGAGAAAACACGCCAATTTGAAACCCCCAAACATATCTTACGGCCGTATTTATACATGAATCAACTCTCTGACTTCGGAATTAATGAAATGCAACAACATTTACATATAGATGAAACTGAAAGATATATAACATCTATTTGTCATCATATTACCTGTGGAAACTTTTTTTTTTCGGGGGGGGGGGTTAAATTTCTAGGATTAAACACCATTACTAACGAGAGGATTTACGTACAGTGTATATAATGTAATGTATATAAATCCTTCACCCCCTTTAAGGTGAGTCATGACGTATTGAGTTTGTTTTTATTATTATCCTGAAAAATTATCCTAAATTTATCATCCTAAAAAATTATCATCCTGAAATTTATCAACCTAAAAATTATTTATTGAAGGGCAGGAATAATAGTATAACATCCATGAGAAATATTGACGCCAAATGTGAATAATATTGCCCTTGTGGTTTGTCTTGTTCGGTCGGGCACGGAATGACACACAAATAACAACGACATCATCATCATCAACATCATCATCATCATCATCATCATCATCATCATCATCATCATCATCATCATCATCATCATCTCTATTTAAGAAAATCAGTTTAGCTGCTGGGTGTCTCATCTTACTCCAACAGTTTAACAATATCAGTAATGTTATAACTATATTTCACGCCACTAACGTTACCTGTGCGACACAAAATTATACAACCCGTAACAAGAAAAAGATTATTAATAGCTGTACATACCTCGCCGTTTAAAGCAACCCAAAGGCGGACAGTTTAAAGAGTAATTTGCGATAATTAGACGATATAAGCCTAAATTATGGCTCATTTAGTATTATGACGCCATCAACAGCCGAAGCTATTAGCGAAAAACACGGTGTTGGAGCACTGGACTGGCAATAACACGTGTTTTATTCCTGGTTATGTAAATTAATCTGGGTTGGCATTTGTTTGGTCTAGTCTCAATGCTGACAGACACAGGAAAATAGTGAACGAGTCAAATATCTAAAACAATCGTAAGGGAAATGGCTATCACCTTTATAATGGCTAAAAAAAAACACAATCACATATCACCTTAACAGCACAGGTAAAAACATTTCATACATATATTCTTTAACTTAACCTAAATCCATCCTTCTATAATATCAACTGAGAAATGATCCAAGTGTACCTTAAGGTGAGGATACTGACAGCAGAGACATAATGTTGATTAACCCATAAGCAGTAGAGGTTAATGTCAACAGTAGGTTAAGGACGATTCAGCAGGTGGTGAATGATGCAACACACCTGGTCTGGCTCTCCTCCCCCACTACCTGTTCTGTTATGATGCCCTCAGGTAATTTATTTCATGGGATTATTGTCTAGTGTGGGATACGTTTTTTTTTAGTATTAATCTACTCTCTCTCTTTCTCTCTACCTAAAGCGGAATCGAACCCAAAATCGAACCCGGAACCGAACATGGAACTGAATTAGATAATCGAGGCTGGGAACCGAACCCAAATTTTCACACCGAATCCCCTCGGTATTGGTTTAGTTAAGTTAGTGAGTGAGATAATGACCAAACCACGAAAAATATAATATACCAACTACCACCAATTAAAACCTGTGGAATGGTAGAGAGAAACATTACAGTTACTATCTATCTGTCAACAAGCGAGGTGGAACTGCCTAGTCATTCATCCAGATACAATTAAACTCTAGTTACAGCCAATGAAAACAAAAGGACTGGAAAATTGAATCATGCTCATTAATTATCACAAGTAAGTTTTATTTAATTTTTTTTGATAAATGGCATAATTAAACCTACGTCAGATAGATAAAAAAAGTCTTCACAGTTCAGTGCACTAGTTATGACGTCACGCCACACTACCCGAGCCAGCAGCTAATATAGATTATCTTCATCACGAACACTGCATTAAAACTGTGTAAATTTATTATGGAAGCCATTTTGTAAATTACCTTGTAAATCATTCCGTAAATCGCTTAGTAAATATCTGTACATATATATTTTGCAATTAAATCATTTGTCATAATATGTCTTTGTTTTGGTTTAAGTTAAGTTACTATGTTAATATTTATATCGAGTATTAATAGAAATGGCCTATTTACAACTGGGTCGACTCGGGGTACCTCACTCTTCAGTAGAAAGCAAGGTGAATTTTCCTTTAGTCTCTCTCTCTCTCTCTCTCTCTCTCTCTCTCTCTCTCTCTCTCTCTCTCTCTCTCTCTCTCTCTCATTCCTTTATCTACCTTTCTTCCTCTCCCTCTCAATTTCGATCTGTTTCTCCCTTTCTCTTTCTCGGTGTGTTTACCTTTTTTTCTTTCGATATCTGTTAATCCTTTGTCTCCTTTGCCTGTCTGTCTGTCTGTCTGTCTGTCTGGCTGTCTCTGTTTATCTGCCTGTCTGTCCCGTCTCACCATAAGGCACCACAACCTTCCCCCAGCCTCCGAGACACCATAAAGGGATTAGCTTCCTCGTCACTGTAACTGGATCTACCTCAACACGCCAGGGCTCACCTCCTCCGCCTCACCCCACAACCAACGTTAAGGGATTCACCTCCTTATTGTTCTACACCCACGGGAAGCCTCTCAGTCTCTTGTTCTCTTGACTGTCTTTACTGCCAGTTGCTCCGTGTCGTGTTCTCTTGACTGTTATTACTGTCAGTTACTTCGTCTACTGTCAGTTTCTAAAATAATGGGAATATACAGAGGTTTTCGTGATCAGGCAATTATCCTTGTGTAACGTATCTTTCTCTCTCTCTCTCTCTCTCTCTCTCTCTCTCTCTCTCTCTCTCTCTCGTGCCCAGGTGATCAACTCACTTAATTAGCCTCCAACATTGACAATAGTGAACGGTGACGTCAATGACTCCTTGTTCAAGAGGTTATATCAGGTCGAACAAACATGAGCTGTCCCATGTCTGCCACACTGCCCCCTGCCACACTGTCCCCTGCCACACTGTCCCCTGCTACACTGTCCCATTTCTGCCACACTGCCCCCTGCCCCCTACCACACTGCTCCCTGCTACACTGTTCCATGCCATACTGTCCCCTGCCACACTTGCCCCTGCCACACCCCCTGCTACACTGTTCCATGCCATACTGTCCCCTGCTACTGTCCCCTGCTGCTACTGTCCCCTGCTACACTGCCTGCCCTGTCATACTGTCCATACTTTACACTACCCCTGCCATACTGTCCCCTGCTACTGTCCCTGCTGCACTGCCCCCTGTTACACTGTCCCCTGCTACACTGTCCCCTGCTGCACTGCCCCTGTTACACTGTCCCTGCCCACACTGTCCCCTGCTGCACTGCCCCCTGTTACACTGTCCCTGCTA